GAAAACTTCTTTATCTAACAAATTATCTTTACGAAATGTGGCGTTGATACCTGTCCAAAGCAACGCTACAATCTCTAAATAAATTGCTGAGGTTCGACCATTTCAGAATATAGCTACCATAAGAACTGATCGTTAAAAATCATGATAAATATGTTTTTATACCCATTTATGTTTTAAAAAATGGACCTGAGATATATATTTACCATTTTTTCTTGTTTTTAAAAGAACTTTGTGAAATTATCTTTTAACGATAAACATTTTCAGGGAAATATAGTCGACAGGGTATTTTCAGAGCAATTGCAGTGAGTTGAAGGCCTCAGACATAAAGTAAAATATTCCAAACGTGAAAGTACTGTTATTTCAGTTCCTGGCACCATCGAGATTTGGATTCGAGTAGATTACTACTTACAGTTACTACAGAAATTTGAGGTGGATACATTTGCCTTAGACCACACCAGGCCTATACACGAATGAATATAGTTTATATTGTAAACTTACGCAACTCTAGAAGCATGAAAGCCATGTGGATCCTTCAGATTAGAGAACATATATATTTTCAAATAGTCAACCTTAAGTAAAAATTTTAGAGTAAATTGTTTTATGAATAATATACAAAGCTTAAGTTCAATTTACTACGCAGTGGTGACTTAAAGTTGTTGACCCCTTCTATAATCAGAAAATCTAAAGACACACGCTTAAACTAGGACGAGGAGCTATAAATATATTTTATAGGCTGACAAGCCTTAGGTATGGCGGGATTCACGCAATTAACAAAAAAATCTCCATTCTTCTCTTAGAGTTCCAACCTTAACTAAAAGACTAACGTCTCTTTCTCAGAAACAAAAAGTAGCTTGTTGGAACGAGTTTTTCCTGGGTTTGGAAACCCACGAAGCTTCAAGCAACTTGAAACCAGCTTCGATAATAAACTAGGCGGAAATTATATTGGAAAAAAAATCCATATTTTTATTCAAAAAAAATTATTTTATTGTTACGCCAAAGACTTTGCATACCATGCAGTAGTTTTTAGGCAATAGTCGTATGTACCATGAGTAGATAATTGCGAAAATAACAACTTTTTTGTTCGCACTTTTTCATCAATTGTTTTTACTACTTTCTCATTTAAGTTTTTTGTTTCTCTAATACGCTTTAGCAGTTTTGCCAATTCATTCTCTCGATAAACACTACCAATTCAATCATTGTCAGCCACGCTTGACAACACACATCACTCATACGCCACAACGCACCACCAGCACAATAGCCGACATCAAACACCGAGCAATAAGACTTAAGCCAAGCGAATGACCGTATAATATATTCAACTGCAATCAGTGCAGATTGCGCATCAATCAATCAAGCACACCTGTTACACACCGCCTTGAACCAGAGCTGACCTGCAGGACAATTAATTTGCACACATTTGCATTTGGCACGAATTCAATTTACATAACCAATTTGTTTAACTGTTTTACTACTGTTTTGCTGTTGGCTGCCACTCAAGCCACACAGGCATATGTGGCATAGTGCAAAACTGCAACGAATGCGAGTTGCGAATCAAAGTCTCTGGAGATATTGTGATCGTATAATAACTGTCAGCTATAATAATAATATCCAATTAAAATTCAACTGCAATTCAGCAAAATAAAATCACAGCAGAATTGACCATATGCAGTGCACCTTTGTTTTCGCCACGTCTATGGTCTTCAGCATGTCGCTTAAAGCCAAATTTATGCAAACAGTTATGACATTCTGTGTTGTCTTCTTTAGTTGTGACTGTGGCAAGCAAAGTGCAGTGTCTGTTTTTTAATGCGGCCTTTGCTGCAAGACGACGCTGCACTGTTTATGGTACTAATATTGCGTGTTTGGTGTGACAGTTATACACACAGGTGGTGTGTGGCATACTATTTGTTATTATATATGTGCGTGTAAAGGTTTCTTTTCATTTTCCACGTGAAACCATAAAGTTTTATGAGCGCAAATGCAAGCGGTCTGCTTATAAATTACCCGCTTTTAATGCGGCACGCGTACACCTTTACTTGGCGCTATTGCAGTATGATGCAAACATGCGCTCAGACAGTCTTCACACACATGTATATATATTTGTATATGGCCGCGTACTCAAGACGGCAAAGAGGTTAGGTGGTTGTCAAGTATATGCTCGTATAGTGGGAAATATTTTTCCGTAATGACATCTTTATAAAAGTGAAGGAGTGGTGGCATAAAGCAAGAAAGTTTAATATTACGATACTATAATGCGATAAGAATTTTGAATTTTGAAAATTAAAAGCAAACAAATTGGAGCTTTAATTTAAAATGATAAAAAACAGAAAAATTATTAAAGAATTGGATATCGTAAAAATTGAAATATACGCAGTGAGTGTCAAACGTTTGGAACGAGTAAAAAAACAATAGTATTTATGGTATTTGTAGGTCAAACTTTGTGGAATAATAGCGGTATTCTTTCAAATAATCACATTTCTAAACAAAAATACTAGAAACGAAAACTTGGGCGTTAAGGAGGACGTTAAGATATCGTCATTTGTGAAATTACTCAATATGGTGTGGTACGTATGTGTTTGTTGTTGTTTTAGCGGCAGAAAAAAATTCTAAAAATAATAATAAACGTAAACTTCGGTTGCACCGCAGCTGGAATGCACTATACAATTGAAAAAAGTTTCCATACAAGAGCTTGACTTTGATCAGTCAGTTTGTATGATAGCTATATGCTATAGTGGTCCGAACTAAAAAAATTATACAGATATTGCAGTAAAGCTTAACATGATAATCCATGCGATAAAGATCTCTAGTCAAATGACACATTTTTTCTTACAAGAACTTGATGCCGATCATTCAGTTTGTATGGCAATTATATGTTATAGTAGTTCAATACCAGCAGTTTCGAAAAATCTGTAGTTTCTTGGGAAAAGAGCGTGTGCGAAATTTCAGATTGATATCTAAAAAACTGAGAGACTAGTTCGCGTATATACAAGTATTGACAGACAGACGAATATGGCTAAATCGACTTAGCTCGTTAAGCTGATTATATATGCATTTTATAGGGCCACCGATGTTTCTTTCTGAATGTTAGAAACTTCGTGGAAAACTTAACCACTGTTGAGGGTGTAAAAGTATAAGAAAGGCTTCTGTGTGAACAATACTTGAGCGGATTTAAGAACTTAGAACTCGTAGAACTTACTTTATTGGGACATATGGGTATATTAGATACCATACTACTAAAATCATTTCAGCGAAACTCGTTGGAAGTTTTGTTTTTCCATACTAGAAATATTTCACCTAAAAAGATGATAATCTCGATTCGTTCTGTGCTATTTCCCTCTCTTCCGTACATCAAATATTTTTCGTACTTACTTGTGTCACAAGCTTTTTTTTATTGCTGACCATTGAAATAAAGGAATTTTTTTTCGCCTTTGATGTTGATAGCACCAAAAATTTTACATTCTAATTGGAAGTTGAAAAAACTATGAATTATGAACCGAATTGGAATTTCGATTTTTTCGTCAGCGCACACGTTTTGCTGAAAAACTCAGCTCGAATCTTTAGAATCTTGAGGAAGCAAAAAGCACAAGAAAAGCATCTAACTATGTATTACGAAACGTTAAATGTGGTTTGTAACTGAAGCAACACACGCACACAAACCAACAATCTCATACACATATTAGCATACATATTAATATATACACTTATGTATAGGTAGTATATAAACCACGTTCCGCGCACTCGTAGCATTGTCTGGCATTAAGAGAAATCGTGACTAATTTCTTGCGATAGCATGGTAGCATGAGGCCATGCGAAGCGCGCAACTCAATGCGCCACATTACTTTACAATGCAACGTGCAACGCGCGTCCTAGATTATGCTTCGACGCTTGCTCAACATGCATGTATGTATATATGTTTGTGTATGCACTTTCTCCACTTTCGCTGCAGTCATTAAGGAAGACGTGGAATTCCATATGCAATGTACTTGCAGCAGCAATACATAAAACGCAGCTATGGCGCACAGGCACGTCTATATAATGGGGTAATACAATTAAAGTTTACTGCAGCTCACTTACATAAAAGAATAATGCAAAATGTTTTAAAGTAAAAATGGCAATTTCTTATTATGCTTTTACTTTAATGTCTCGCTTATGGACCAGGGTAGATAATTTTTGAAAAAAAAAAATTAAACCATAATTGGATGAAATGAATAAATACAGTATGTTTGGAACATAAAAAGGTAACACCAACTTTCCAGAAGGAAAAAAATGTTTAATATTTACAAGATGAAAATAAAAAACCCAAAAACTTGGTTATTTTAATTTTTCACATAAATTTTAAGGTTATGTGAAAAATTTCTGTATGCAAGAGTTATAGAGCTTTTAATTATTTACAACATTGTCATATAACTTTTTTCTATAGTACACGTAGTTTTGCCGTAAATCGTTAAACCGTTTTAAACCCTTAAAAATTTAACCACGCTCTCCTCTTTATTTTCCCGTGTTCTTTAGTGTTTATTATTTTATCTTTCGTTTCCAATGGGTTTCAATCTACTGTGAGTTTCTTACTTCATTTTATTAAATCACATTTCCTATCAAAAATACTAAAAACGAGTACTTTAACAGTGACGTTAAGCTATGAGATATCGTCGCTGGAGGAATTACACGATATGCTGTGGTACATAACAATAATATCATCTTCTATTAGCAAATCCAGTAATCAAGTTTTATAACTTTATTAATGTAACGAAGTCTTAACGACAGTGCCCAACTCCAAAAATTGCTTCTGTACACTCTTGATACACACCTAATATCGAAAGGTATAATTATCTTCCATACCTATCATTACGCTATTTCGCCATCAATAATCAATTCATTTCTTTTCAATATTGTATAATTAATCTCATTTCGCTACTTTCGTCTTTTTTGCTACTCGCCATACTTAATTAACAGTTATTGTAACAAAATGTAATTGTTAATTTTTAATCAAAGTAGTTTCCACTTACCTGCTTCCATTCGACTTTATCGATGCCATCCTCACCTGCCATCTCAATGGGTGGTCGCAAAATGGAGACATACTGTGCGCCAAAAGTAAACAATCAAGTATCAGTGGTTGAGTAACATGAATATAGATGAAGTGTGGTGAACGAAGTGATGTGTTGAAGCATGCACCGGAAGCGTATCGGAAAAGGATGTGGCGCAAGTTGAAAGCGGCAACCAGACAATTTGCGTGAAAGAAATGGTAGGCAAGTAAATTATTAGTAAATTACAGAGATTAAAAGTAGAAAGATAGAATAAATAGTTAAATAAGAGTTGTTGGTGAAAATAAGGTGAATAGATAGTTAGATTACGTCGGTTTCTGTCTTAATATATCGTTCGCTTACTAGGTGAAATATATAAATATATGAAGAAATTGGCCTCCAACCACAGCTGAGAGAGAAAGTGATATTAAATAATAGAGAGAGGAAGATAGAGAGATAGAAGCTTCCAGCCACAGCTGAAAGTATAAGACAGAGAGAGAGAAAAAAAAAAGAGCGTGGCTTCTAACCACAGCTGTTCTATTGCAATTGTGGCAGGAGACCTTAGGCAGTTAGCCTAAGCTAAAACGCCATTAACCTCGACAATCGACATTCAGTCATTTTAATTCAACATCCTCAGAGCTGAATTATTTGTAGAATATCTCTCGATAGCAAAAAAAAGGGTACTGAAAGGTCTATTGGACTAGTAAAATGCAATACATGAGAAAGACTAGTGGTAACAAGTAATTAGTTGAGCACTGTTCCTCTCCCTTTAAATATCACATCTCTACTCCGATCCGAGTAGATTAAAGCCAAATAATGCTTTTTACTTTTACGAAAATCAGTCAGCCGTTCATTTCTCAAAACTTTTTGTTTGCGAAAATAAAAAAAATAAAGAAAAACCATTTACCCGCGTAAACATCAGTAAAAACGTCAGTATTCCTCACTTCAGTATAAAAACAATTACAATTTGTATCAATTTCAGCAGAAAAAAAGTTAACAAAGTAGCAGAAAACTCTTCCCATTGCATTTTAAATGAGTATTTGATTGCTTTCGCTTACTCAACCACGTTGAAGTCGGATGTCACTCACTATACACGAGTGCAATGCACAACAACACCACGATAACCAGTTTGCGTTGCAGTTCATATAATTGCCACCCTGTTGTCCTCACTTTATTTTTTATACTCTTATCCATTGGCATGTTCGTACAACATTACTTGGTTGGCATTTAAGTCGAGTTTAGTTAATTTGCTCATTTTATTTCCGTATTAAATGTTTGCATGCCGAAGCTAGTTAGGTTTTCACGTTTTTCATTCAATTTAACGGTTATGCGACAACTGCATGTGGTGTGGACTAAATGACGTTAAATAGTTAACAAAATGCAACAGTGAGAAAATACACTTATATATCTATCTATCATAGAAGGTTTTAAGGTAGGGCTAGAAATAGTAATATTATTTAAAAAGCGTTTTTTAAAATTTTTTATTAGGAATATTCAAGAAATGAATCAGGAAGGAAGTTCGAGAAATTTCTCGTAAACTAAAGATTCAAAAAAGTGTGAGATATATCGAAATTGGTAGTAAGACAAAATTGCGTAACATTTTTTCGAAACCGAAAAATCGGTTTTTGTATCAAAAGAATACTCGGTAAAAATTCCGTTTAAATTCGTCCCTGCCTATCAGCGATCTCAGCATTATTACCGTATACGTAGGTTGGTTTTTATATTTCGGGATTTGGCAACCCTAGTGTTGCAGTCTGGCAACTCACAACTTAATCGTAAAGTTTGACATTTTTGATGTTGTACACACTTAGTACGTTTTGACATAACAGCGCTATTTGTGTTGTTAAAATATGCAACTCCGCAAAAAAATTAAATTATATTATTTATTATTATATTTTTTAAAACCTTTGACGTGCATTAACTCAGCCACACTGCATAGATGAACTTTATTAAATTTTTGGCGATGAGGCTCCATTAAGGACCTGTGCAGAGAACGTATAATAACTTTCTCTATGTCATACAAACTGACCGATTAAAATCAAGTTTTTTAAGGGCACCTTTTGTTTTTGTGAAGGGTATTATAGCTTCGGTGCCAACGAAATTAACATTTTCTTCTTGTTTTAATAACTGTTTGTTCTGTTTTTAATAATTTCAATAATTATTTCCAGGCAACCCAAAATTTGCTGATTATGATAAAAATAAAAAATAAAAATATACAAAAATGTCAGATTACGCTCCCAGCAACATAACGGCTGCAGAAATTAATTTTCATTTTCGCTTTAACAGCTTAAATACTCATTATTAAAAGTTTATACAAATAAATTTTATATTTAACATTTAATTTCGCAACTATAAAAACACATAATTGATATGTCCGAAACAGGTGAAGTTTTATATGTACATACGAATACTATGTAATAATATGCAGACTGCAGTGTACAATTAGCTGCTCCTTTGCAATGCATTAAATTATCACGCATACCCAGTGGTGTGCCACTACTAAGTGGGATATGAAACGTATTACCTCTTACCTTAAGTAGTTGTCACATGTCATTAACATTTTCGCAAGTTTTTCCTCACTCTCTCCCTCGCCCGCACTCGCTCACTTTTTCTTTCTTCGGCCTGAAACCCACAACTGAGCAATTACAACACTTTAAAATGAACAACATGCCATTTACGCTTTGCCTTCGATGCATTGTCAACCATATCTTTTATCTTATCTGTGTTAATTGAAGCCGAGTAATTGACATGGCAATGCCACCGAGTTCATTAAGCCACTGGCAGGTAGCAATAAAATGCAAAAAGACGCCATTAATCGAGTAGCTTTAATAATATAAACGACAGGACAGCGCCGCAGTGGCATATAAGGTTGTGTATTGAAAGCTTCGTTGGGATAACATGAGTATTTAATGCGAAAGCAAAAGCAGCAAAGATGAGAAAAGTGATAAAAATCGACAGCAAGATGCACGCCAGGGACTTCATTAACATAAAATGACTAAATGAGCTTGCATTTTTCTCGTTTTTATTTGTTTTTCGCGCTGTGTGTTGCGGTCGTTTGCTTTCCCAAAAGGATGCTGCCCTTTGTCAGTGTGGCTTCATTTTTAATCTCTCTACATTTGTCATTCGCAAACATCTCTCGTGTGTATAGCAGTAAAAGTGCGTGAGTATGTGTGTGCGTTTGTGTGGGCTTTTTTAAATTGTCAAACTTACCTTGCCGCGGTCGATGCTCTTGATCATATCCAAGTCCGTTGTGTCCGATATACCGCCGTGCACAATCAATACCCGATTGTTAACGATGGTGCCCAGCGGCAGCCAGCGATAGACTTCTTCAATCATTATCATTAATTTATCGGCATTGCGCTGTGCGGAAAGTAGAAAATAGTATAAAAAAGTCATGAAAAATAAAGACACAGGCAAAACAACAAAAATAGTAAGTTAAGACTTCGGAATATATTTGTATATTTTCTACTAAATACTTACACGATACTTCTGCTGCACCTCGCGTATGAAACCGTAACGTGCATTCATCACAGAGTCTTCGTGATTGCCGCGATTCAAGTGCACGGCACCGGGAAAGGCCAGAAAGCAAGCTAGTAGCAGCAGAAAGACCTCAAGACCCTTTTTGCCGCGATCCACGAAATCGCCATTAAAGACATAGGGGTTTTCGACTGAAGGAAGACCATTCTGGTAGTTGGGATTGTATAATGATAAAAATTTGTAATTTAAAAAGATTTCAAATTTAAAAAAGAAATAGTGTAGTTATAGTTTCGAAACAATTGTTGTCTATATATATTATTCCAATATCGTGCTATTATATATACTATTAATCAAATCGATATGTAAAGAACTTTTCTTCTTTATAATTTCAATATTCTCACTCACCTTATAGAAAATAACCAACAGATCATCCAGTTTACCATGCAAATCACCGATGACTGTCACCTGCTTGGATATTGCCGTTGATGCTTGGTTGAGATTTGGAAGTCGTTTTAATTTAAATGCAGCCTCTTTTAGGATACCACCCACATATTTGGCAAGTAGGCGATCAGACTATGAGGAGGAGGAGCGAAAGTGATATATAAGTAATAAAATGTAATATAATTGAGAAAAATGATATTAACATACATATGCCCCATTATACCTATAATTATTTTCTCTACAAAATATTTTCCTCAGCGCAAGTTTCATATACGAGCATATTTCGGTCGAAAGAACAAAGGCTAAAGTAGATTAAACTTTAAATCTTTAAAAAACTCGCGGTTATTGATCCTAATTTCATCATCTTCTATCTCGAAAAAATTTGGAATCAAGAATTGCGCCAAACGCAATTTTTTTACGAAAAAAAACGCTTCGATATAAGAAATGTGGTTTGATGACTATTAACCACACACGGAACTAACGTTAAACGAAAAAACTAGGCCTTATGAGCGCTAAAGACGTTGAAGTAGACGTTGACTTTGGATGACGGTACAATGAAGTTGATGAAAATATATGACACTCTTAAAGAGTATGGAACATGCTGGATATATGGTTTGTGTAATTTTGGATATATGAAAGCTCTGAGCATAATGGATCCTGCGAACTTACAATGCAATGATGTAATCGCTTTGAATTGCTTTTGGATCAACTATGTTCACAGAATCTCACATCCAGCGGACTTCTACTGTTCTCAAACTTCATTAAACTGCTCTACGAACTGAGGTACGGTGAGATCGATGCCTATTTTAAAGAAAATATGCTTTTTACCGCAAAAATTAAATCGAAATCTTGAAAGACCGGCTCACTAGGAATTATATGAAATAATACGAGTAAAAATTAGTTTTGATTTTAAAAAAATACTATGCTTTTCTTTAAAACGATGCAAACTTTTCAGTCACTTTTTACTTCTAGATTAAACTTCTAATAATCAATGTTTTACCTTTAAAAGGGAGACTATTTTTCATTTAAAGACAGACAAGAAATTTTCTAATCTCTTGCACACTCTTAAGACTCTCTTTCAGTTAAACAAGACGAGAAGTGCTCTACATTCCTCCTATAAGTTGACTATACATTTCCACCGGAGGGTTTTTAACATCAAAATACTGTTACCAAATTGATTCCAAATGACTGTTCAGTCTTTAAGAAATAATCCGGATTCAATATCTATAAAATCCCCTGAGGCAAAAAACAGAAGATAGCATTGTTTCCACAAAATCGATCTTATTTCTCGGACCTTTGTTAAAGAAAACCAATTTACACAGTTTTATTGTGATTTGTGGTTTCTGGTATCTTTTAGTTGCTCTAACTAAGCGTAGCCTCTTTAAAATAATATTTTCAATAATCAAAACAATGTTAGCACTCACCTTTTTCTTGCGAAACACATCAATTAACGTCACAACATCCTTCTTGATTAAGGGAAATTTCAAATGCGGTCCATCGTAATTTTTATCGGAACGATATTCGCCATCCTCGTTGAAATCTGACTCATCGAAATAAACATCTGAAGCTGTAGTTGGTGTGACATTTAATTGGACACAAGCAATTCGCAAGCGATACACACACACATACATGGTACAAGGAGCGTAGTTCGGGGGAAATGAAACGGATACAGATATATATATATATGAGAGAGATATATGAGAGATTAGCATTACAAGAAATGGTAACTTTAGGAGCATAAACTACAATCTATTTGTATTTACATTAAATCTACTTAAGATATGATAAGGAACATAAAGGGATTATGAAATTAGCACAGCCAACACATGTATATATTAGGTAGTTATTAATCGGGATTATAATCTTAAGTAGTATATATGAAGTTGTTATACATCTACATGTCAGTAAGATTTCCGCAACACGCTTATGGCTGTAGATAAGCGCATTACAATTTATTTAATTTGAAATCACCTTATACACAAACACACTCACAACAATTGGTGCATAAATACACGTGTATGCTTAAGGATTATGTGTATAATTGCAAACTAATACAAGCTTACATAAGAATTAACTTAAATTTAAGTAATTAAGTATATATATATGTATATGGATTAACATTATTCTGTTTTGTAACAATTACCTAATGAGATCTCGGAGTCCCGTTGCATTGACGGACGTTGGGCAGCAGCAGCTTCGGGAATGTGTGTAAGCAGTGCATTGAAGAAGTTATATAACTGTAAATAAACGACAAGTAGTTTAAGAAAATATAATTATTATGTTTTTTTTTAAATTTAAATATTAAATACAGACAATTTCATTTATGGCTGGAGAAATAAATTTTGCTTAAACATGCAGTTTTATACCCTGAAAAGGGTAAACTAAAGTTGCCACGATGCTTGTAACACCCTAAAGAAAATGGAAAAGAGACCCTATAAAGTATATACTTGTATGTAAATGATCAGTGTGACGAGCTAAGTCTTACTATTACTTACTTGTACTTCTGTCAGTCTCTCTTGTCTGTGAATATATGCGAAACAGTCCCTCAACTTTTGAAACATCGAACAGAAAGCAAACGATAAAAAAAAGTTTGAGCTATAAGCCGAGACTAAAATCCCCTCACTCTATTATATCCTCTCTGAACTACCTTGTGCTTTTGATGCAGTTCATTAATACGAAAACTTTTATCTGTGCAACATCCGAAACATCATCAAGAAACCCATGATCATGATATGTCTCGTTTATTTATTGCTCGATTTCAAGGATTTGATATAACGTTGGATATATAATTATATAATTTTGTATTTCTATATATCGAAAATGTTTATAAAACTTTGGCAAATGTGTCTTTGAAAGTAGTAACAGTATTTGTGACACAGTCTAGTATACGATATAAGGAATTACGTAAGGCTCGATAGTTGAAACCATGAGTTAATCTACCGGAAATCAGCTTGCAATATTTTTGAAAAAATATCTTTAAGTTATTTATGAGAACCTAACTTCAAACTTTTGGGTTTGCATGTAGCTAATTTGAGTTATTGAATAAAATAAAACAATATTATATAATATTGCAGGTCAAGGCCAATATTGACCAAACCGTTAGTTACTGCTGACTCAAGTGACATTGGAACTATTTTTTTTGTTTTCGTTTTGAGTGATAATGATACATAAATAAACTGGCATTTTGCAAGTAAACCTAGCAGACAAACTTGCAATTTTCTGACGGAATTAGCTCAATAAAAAGTAAAGCATATTTAATTTCATACTTTTTATCGCAATATCTAAAATGCACGCGAGGCTTTCTTGTTTGAGAGGTAATAATTACATACATAGGTATATGCATGTACACAGATACACACAAATGAATTTATTTGTACAAGCGTGGTGTCCTGCAGTTTTTGGTGGTCAGTAAATAAATTGCCGGTTCGTGATTTCACTATTTTTATGACAGCAATTTTCTTTCGTAAATCATGGACGAAAACAAGCGCTACGAATCACAGCACATCAAGCCGTCACACATACTTTTATATATTATATATTAGGGTGTTTGTTATTTCCCAAGTTGATGTTTTTATATATTAGGGTGTTTGTTAGTTCCTAAGTTGATGTTTTTCTTTGCGAATGACTCCTGAGTTTCAGTTTTTACTCCAAAAACAAACGCTTTATTTTCATTTGAAGCCGTGCCTAAAACGTTTAACTTTTCTCATGTATTTTACATGAATTTTTTGATATTCTTTTTTTTTTTTTGGAAAAGTGACCTTTATTATAAAAATTTCCCCGCAACAAAAAAGGTCTTCATAATTTTTTTCATGAAAACATTCCTTCAAAAGTTATATGCCGTTAAAGTTATACATGAAATACATTAGTATTCATACAAGTGATTTATACATTCTATGTTGCTCATACGACATGGCGTACTCTATGACTACAATAAATTTGATGCATAACTTTAACTGCGTATAACTTTTAAAGGTATGTTTTTCGGAAAATAGTCAGCAAAATCTATTGTGTAGAGCAGATTTTTTTTTATCAGAATAATGCTTTTACAAAGTTGTAGATTTATTTGCTTTAGAGATAAAAAAAATTATTGCAAAATATCAAAAAATCACATGTTAAATATATGGAAAGTAAAATGACTTAGGCACGGTTTAAATTAGAAATAGACGGTTCAGCAAAAGATGAAACTTCATGGAGCTTTTGCAAAAAAAAAAATCAACTTAGAATATAACGGACACCCTAATATATAGTACATATAAACACATTCACACGATATCACATATTAAAACTAAATTGAATATTTGAAACACGAAATTAAATTAGAAATGAACGGTCGACGAAAATAAAGAGGGCGTACAACAAAAACAAAGTAAGCAGCATTATGACCACTTAGCCACAGTCGAAAGCGGCAGTGGGAGTGTTAGGGTGGACGCGCGCTTTGTGTATAACCAGCAAAAGTGATGACGAAAAGAAAATTGAGAGTAAAAAAAAAGTCATATTATATTAACTAACTAAAGGAAAAATAAAAGTAAATGCACACAGCGCAGACGGAGTGAAATCGTCCCTTCTGATTCTAGAAGGTTAGCGCCGGACTTGAGGGACTGCAATTAAATACAGTGCTGCAGCAGCGACCACATTTAATTATGTACTGTTTGTTGGCACTGCGGACACTCCCCACATCCATGCAATAAGCGCGCACTCATTTAGCACTGCACTACAACAACAACTACAGACCACTAACACTGCGTTGTGTTATTGTTGTGGTGCGCTGTGCTTCACTAACCAGCTGTAATATGCAATTGTTTATGGCGTGGTTACTGAAGCTGCATTTTGCGCTCGTCCTCATTCTGAGTATGCGCGTAATTTTTAATAATATGTAAAGCACTCTTTATAATTTTTTGTGCTTTTTGATGGCAGCGTAGACAATACCAAGGTCAAGCGTGGTGTGATGAGCTGCTGCAAGCATGAATTGTAAGTGAGAAAATGGTCAAAGTAGACTAAATGAAATATGCAATGAAATTAAAAAAGTGAATAATTCCCAAAGCAGTTCTGTCTTTGAATTGCTCGGTTGTTGTGGAACAGTGGTGATTACAAAAACAAAGTGTTGCATCAAAAAAATGTATGTGTTTTAAAAATAATGGTTGACAACGCAAGTATATAATGAATAAAGAAAAGTAATGAATTAGTTTAAAAGCAAGAGAAAAATGTTAACTGCGGCTGCACCGAAGCTATAGTAATCTTCACTGAAGCATTTTTTATAGCATAAAAGAGTATAAAACGATATTTATCTTGATTTTGATAGGGCAGTTTGTATGGCAGCTATATGCTATAAAGGTCCGATTTGAACAATATGTTCAAGGATTGTCGTGCTGGCCTGCACAATAATTCATATCAAATTCCCTCTGGATATTTTGTCGAATAGAAGAGTTTTCAATATAAGAACTTTATTTGGTTCGATCAGTTTGTATGTCAGCTATATGCTATAGTGGTCCAATATCGGCGGTTCCGACAAATGAGCAGCTTTTTGGGGCGAGAAGAACGTGTGCAAAATTTCAAATCATTATTACAAAAACTAAGGAACTGGTTTGCGTATATGTAGACAGTCGGACGGACAGATGGACAGACAGGCGGATATGGCTAAATTGTTTCAGCATCACGATCGGAATCGGAAACTCAGCGGTTTCTTCTGGGAGTTACAAATTCAATAATGTTCAAGATATAAAAAAAATGTTTTTTTTTTAAATATTTAAAGTCATTTCAAAAATTGGAAAAATGTTTTTTAGTTCCAACTTGAGTTTTTAGCAGGGAAATTGTAAAGCAATTAGAATCAAGTGAAATAAATTAAACAAAATAAAATTTAATTTTATTCAAACCAAAGAAGTTATTAATATTGTTTTCTACACTACTTAGGTATATAGCAGCTTGGGTAGGTATTAATACAATTTTATTAATTTTAAGTACAAGCAGACAATATTATCAGAAAAAGTCGCTCACCGAATTTCTTTACGATATTATCATGTAGTGACTGATACATACATACGCTATAAAGTCAAGCAGAAGTTGAAAGATCTTTATATTAGGAATATGGAGGCTAGGGAAAATATGGTCCTGATTTTACTAATTTTTTGACAGGGCACATCATTAACAGAAAAATATTCACTCCTTATTTTTATAATGCATCTCACATATTGATCGATATTTTCGGTAAAATGTCAGTCATAAGGATTATGGTACACATATTCGGTATCCTAGCGGAGTGAGCGGTTATGATCTCACTTCGACCATTGTTGGACGTAAGATGTCATGCCCTAAATACACAATTAGTGTAAAATTTTATTTCGATTACGTCATTGGTGCCCGATTTAAATGCTGCAAAGTGAAAGGATCGGATGGAATTTAAAAAGGTGATGTATGAAAAGTAGTTATATTTGTAGTCCATTTTCAAAAATGTTTACAAAGTAACATGTGCAGCAAATTGGGTTGAAATTCGCCGAGTGCTTCTTGCGACTTGGGAATTTGGCAAAAGTTAAGCGCTGCCACGACCATTGTCCAATTTAACACCGATCCGTGATAAAACCAAGTACTATATTGTCGTGTAATTTAATGATTCTGGTATATTGCTTTAGTGAGTTATCGCACTTTTAGTAGTTTTCAACATAACCGTTATATGTGGGCGTGATTATTATTCGACTACACCCAAGATGAGGAGATGGCAGAAGGACTTGTGCTCAGCTAATTTGTATGGTATAATTGTAGTGGTTTATGGAATATTTATATAAAATCTTTTAAATGGCAGATGTCTCTTCCGACTGCATTCATATAAAGTCGCGTGCAAAAAGTAATAAACTAATATTTTTTTAAGTATATAATAAACAACCACATGAGGAAATAATAGCATTGCATGCAAAACTATAAAACAGTGATAATTTACGCCGCATACTTCAAAGTTGTACATACACACATATATATAAGAACACATTGGTATATGTAGTATGTAAAAGCTAAGGGTCAGCTAAGCTGTCCTTGCAACAAATTGGTTTATGATTTATAGTTTGTAACTGCTGACACGCTGGTGTAGATATAATTGATCACGGAATTGCATGATAAATGGTTTAATGAAGTGACTGATATTTTCGATATATATATTTCAAAAAAAAATTAATATAAAAGGCGGTATATTTTTAACTTGCTGCAGGGCTAAGTTTTTAATTTTAAGAGTCACACCGTTAAACCATGTTTTAGTTATGCTAAATGTGTGACTTGCTGTGAAATTTGAGAGAACTTCGCTGTTAGATTCGTCAAAATATATGTTCGAGGAAAGTTCTCTTCCATATAAGCACATAAAAAAGAAACTAATATTTAAGTTCAATTCTGAGTATATTAACGCAAAAGAATATCATTGTATATCCATAAGATACGCGCAAATTTAAGCGCCGTGCTAGCAAGAAGCAAGTGAAAGTAATTACCTCGAAACACTTACATTCGACATGAGAGAGCAAAATGCTCGCCTTGCTAAGAAAACGCTCTTTATATAAGACAAAAAATGCAAACCGCGTAAGTAAATTGTTAAACACCAACAATTAGTAGAAACCACAGAGCAAAAAAGGTGAATGAATGGAAGACGACAGAAAAAGTAAACATGCTGGCGATTCTCCTTTTACGTAAGCAGACACAACAAATGTACATACATACATAAATATACATATATATGTATTTGGTTGAATTTAAAAAACATTGCAAAGCCTTTGCTGCTTATTCTGCGGTTTTTTTAGCGTTCATCGCCCGTTTATTTTCGAACATATTTGCGGTGTTGCAGCTAAATTTATTTTATTGACTTTTGAAACAATAAAAGTGCTATAGGTATATTTTTACGCGAATTTGAGTGTTCCGCATTTTTTGAGGATGCTTTTAAATAGATATGCACTTTATAAATTAATTTTGATTGTCAATTGGGCCAAGTACGGTTAGGAAAAATTTACTTGTATCTAAAATGTCAACAAGATGAAATTTCCCACGATACAATTTGCTTTCACTTTTTTGAAGAAAATATGGGAGTTAACGTAAAATGTTGATACCGATATTAAAAAAATAGCTAAATATTGTTGAGAGCCAGAATAAATAAAAAATTGCTGAAGAAAAAACAAAAAAAAAAAAAAACATCTTCAATTCGGTTGTACCGAAGCTATAATAGAAAAGATTATTTAAAAAAAAGTTAATTTTGATCGGTCGGTTTGTATGGCAGCCATATACTAGTATAGTAATCTGATCTTAACAATTTCTTCGCAGATTACACAATTGCTTTAAGAAACAGCTTATGTCAAATTTCATGAAGATATCTCCACAAATGAAAAAGCTTTCCGTACAGGCACTTGATTCGGATCATTTAGTTTGTATGGCAGTTATATGCTATAGTGGTCCGATATGATAAATAAGCAGCTTCTTGGAGAGAAAAGGATGTGTACAAAATTTCGGACCGATATGAGGGACTAGTTAGCATATACCATATACAGGCAGACGGACATCGCTAAATCAACTCAGCTCGTAAAGATCGAAATAGCTCATTTGTTGTATTAAAATTTGTCATTCGATCGCGATTTAGTATATATATTTTTCAGAACTCACCTAAAATGAATTTTTGAATTTTGCAACAAGACTTTTATACAGTTTTACGTTAGCTAAAATATCTAAATAAATCCCTAACTTCGCTTTCTTTTCCTCATTTTTTAATATTTTGTTTTGAACTTACCTCCACTTGATCATTTTCACCCGCATATTCTAGATTTGTAAATATAGTCCATGTATAGCGACGACGCACCTCCATACGCGCTCTGTATCTTCGATACCATCGTTGGATTAGCAAAGCTGCTCGTAAGGCTATAATTGAGAAAAGAAAAAAATAATGCATATAATAAGCAATTGGTGATCAAAGCTTATAGACTGTTTTTTTTTATATAATAATAATAATAAATTTCGTTTCAAGCTCACACAATTTTTAGATCTGAAAATTTTAAGCAGCGGTGCTGATTTATGCATTAAGTAAGGAGAGAAAATTTTTTGTCTCCAGATAAATAGGCTTGCTTATAGAAATCAACGGAAAATTTTATGTTTTACAAACAGTTCTGAGCTATTTGTTTAATCCCAAATAAAAGAACGGTCTCTAAGTCTTCTGGATTGCAGATGGGTTGTAAAAATTGAGCGCATATAAAGAAGTACTCTCAGAAATATAACCTAGTAGACAGACTATTCTAAAGTAGCAAATATATATATTTTTAGAAATCGATTGCGCAATATTTGTATCTATATCTATGCTCGTCTATGACGTTTCCATAGTTTTTTTTTTTTTTACTTTTTTAATTTACCACGGTATTCAAAGAAGTTGTCATAAATGTCTTTAAATTGAGATTCATCATATGAATATTCACATACCAAACTAGCTAATGGCTACTGTTTTCACATTGAATAATATATATTGTCCAAGACTGAGAAGCAATAAGACCACTTACATGTTGTTGTTGTTCAGATTTCAACCATATCTGAACTACAGGCATTGTGAACTCTACTCTTGTATCAATATTTCTGTCGACAATACAGAAAAGTGCAACGATGAACAGGTCAAATGTGAATGATTTTCTGTACCATATTAGACAAAGGAAATACAGTGTCTCTTTACAACTATTAAAACAGAACTGTATCTACAGATGGGTCAAAAAATTTAGATGCTGTAGGCAGTTGGAGCACAGGGACAAAGCTCCAAGCTAAATTGAGCAAAACATGATCATAAAAGTACCGCTTGAGTACCTAGAACGGATTGTATTTAGAACGCTAGTCGGCATAGATTCTCTACAGTTGGAGAATTAGTGCAATTGACTACGTTCGTCATGCCCATCATTTATAGATGATTTTATAGAGTTTCATTTTGGGTGTTAAAAACTTAATATATCCTGTTCAGGGTATAACTACTTCAGATACTATACTTTGTACAAAAAGTATTGCACAGTAAGCAAAAATAGTCCACTACGCACAAAAAAAGTAAAAATAAACAAGTCGCTGAAAATTGTGCATGACTAAAGTGTCAACGAAATTTCGAAATAATAAATTTAGCTTTCACGAAAGTTCAACTTTGCTGCAAATAGAAAATGTTTGTAATTGAAAAGTACACCAACTCAATATTCGCAGCTAACATAAATAACGCAGGTTGACAGCACACTTTGCGAGGAGAAGTTGAATATTTAAAAGAAAAAACGGCAAAAATAATCAAGCAAAGCTTTTGACAACACAAAACAGCGCTGGAAAACGCTACCAAACCAGCGTCCACAGCATTAACATATTTATAAAAAAATTGCTGTGTCAAGCGTATGTATGTACACTCTCACCCGCACTTCAACATCAGCGTCTACTGTGCACAAATCACTCACTTGCTCAACGTGCAACAACAATGCTTATTTGCGAACTTTAGTGCTTAGAAAAGCGCAAACTAAGCGTGATTAGCAAACTTCTTGCAGTATAAGCCACGCGGTTGCATCAACTTCAACATCTCCTACGTAGCATGCTTGCCATTCATTTTATATGTTGCAAGTACAGCGACAAGGATAATTGAAATTTGAGCACAGCACAGACAGTACAACAGTTGCAACCATGTTGCCAGTCAGCTCATCAAGCAGTTGGCGAATTGGTAGTACCCTTCACTATTACTATATATTATATTACTATACTATGCGTGCGCATTTTATGGCATGCTTGCACATTATTGTAGTTGCACCGCCGGAGGAGTGCCATCACTAACGCGTCGTACTGTCTCGAACATTAGTTATAAAATTAATTATAGATAAATTTCTTTTATAGCACGGTACCAATTATATTACAATCAGCTGTCCAATAACGGGTGCGGTGGTGTGCGTAATTGAATTGTTGTATAAAATTTGAGTGGCATTTCTTGTTTTCGTATATCCCTAAGTGGAAACTGGTTTCCCCTTTAATAATAACTTTCAGTGAGCAGCTTGTTTTTGTTACAAATTGTATTAGAAAAGTAATTTTGAAATTTTTGATGGCATTTGTGGAGCTTTAATAGTTGGCTGACTGAAGCAGTTATTGATATATTAAGTACTAGCCAAGCTTGCTTGAGTGTAAATGCCTTAAAGCTGTAAAATAGTAAACATAAAATAAATAGAAACAAGCGAGGTGAGAATGCATTGATGCTGCCTTTGAGTGCAGACATGCCTGAAAGTAATAGTGTAGGCGGATATTTGTCTCTTTTAAAGGTGCTCGCCTTCTTCATTGGCTAGAGTTTTTCTCAGCGCATAGAGTATCTAGCTAGGTTGGACAACAAGACTTATAGCATTGTAAACTGCTTAAGGCTGCTGGAAAGTGGAGTCTTTGATCTTAATAAGCGCTTGATATTTATCAATAATCGATATTTATCGATAATCGATTTTCTATTTATATGATTTATATTTATCGATATATTAAAGTAAAGTATGAGGCAATGCTTACGGCCAACCGGCTAATGATTTTAGGTTATTGGAGCCAGATACGGCGTTAGAGCATGGTTTCATAATCGACTTTGTCAACGAACTCAGACTAAATTGACAACGTGACCGAGAAAAGTGAATCCATGAGAAATTAGATAAAAATAGAACAATGGTTCTATGATCGACAGTTCCAACGGCGAAGTTTACCACTTATCAAAGTATGAAATAGGAACAGAAGTGGACTTCTTCTGTAGTAATCCATACGCAGAAGGTAATTTAAAGCCAAATGGCTACAATTCAATCTTTTAGGCCAAAATTGTTGGTTTCTGTTCTAAACAGCAAGCCCATAAACCTTCTAGTGGGCAGTCAACCGCCTATGCTAAGTCTCACTGCGTTACGTTTAGCAAGCATGCCATCTACTTCTATGCAAAAGGGTACTTAGTATTTGAGGGGCCATCACAGGCACTTGTCCTTAAGATCCCAACTTCAGAAATTGGGAAAAGTTGACTCGGCGGAGTGCCAAACATGCGCGGAGGACGATAAGACGCTGTAACATTAACTTTGCGAATCTCAATCCTTTAATCGGATAAGACTGTTAATATTCCACGGCTCCCAGTGTCCAATTTAAGAAACATTGCACAGCTTGTTATTTTAAGCACTGAGAGACTTATTATGAAATAAAATTAGGTAAAACAATCCAATTAATTTAAGTGCGAAAAAGAGGTTTTCCTTTAGAATTTCAAAAATATGCTATTTTTTCTCAGAATATTAACATACTTGCGGCTGCATCTCGGGGTTTCGGTTTCGAAGACAAACAACCCATTACATTGATTCTGATCTTAAGTTTTGGGAGCAGCTTGCATTGGTTATCCATGTATGTAACGGAATTAGCGCACGCAGATGCCACAGAAATGCAGCAACAGCTGGAGCACGCTGGCTAAATAAACTGCCAGCAAATGTGAATATAGAAATAATATTATGAGTATAGCAGCAACTCGCAAGAAATCACCATAAGCACAATGACATATGCATGTATTTATGATTTTTCAAAAATTTCTTCAAAATTAATTTTATGAAATATATATTTGTAATACGAGCGCACAAATTTGTTTAGAAATGGATTAATTTATTTTCATGAGTTTTAAATGCACAACTTTAGTATTTTTTCGAAACCCGGCGGTACTGTTAAATACATAAAAGCGCACACTTCACTGATTTTGGGTGGATTAAAATATATTTTATTATTATTCTGATTTTCGTTTTTGCTTAATTTTAATATATATTTTGCTATTTATACTCAAATATTAATAATCACACTGCGTAGTTTCGAAGAATTCGCCACGAATGCACAAATAGTTTTTGCTAAAAATTCTTTCATATCTCTTTGTAATATAAATATTTAGAAATATAAAAAAATTCAATTGTATATGTCAATTGCATGCGCATAAAAATTGAAAAAAAAACAAAAAATTCTTCACTTTTTTTTATTTATATATTTATTTTTTTACATTCTCTGTTATTGTAAAAGTTTGTCAACAATTTCTTTCACTTTCACTTTTGTTTTGGAAAACAAGAATTTACAAACAATCGAATTTCTTGTTTATTTTCTTTGACTCGCTCGGTTTATCTATGCTTTTTTGATTTCTACTGAATGCTTATCTTGCAAAATTAATTATTATTTTCACTTGGCGTAGAAGTGCAACTTAGCGTTCGAAATTACCGCACTTAAGTCGTTGAAAAGCGCCATTCAACTGTTCAATTCGTGATAGTTGTTTTGTTTAACAAGTGTTTATTTGCCTTTTAACAATGCCATACTGAAAAATGTTGTCATGCCGCACAGTGTTGTAAAACGTTCGTAAGTATGCTATACGCATACATAGATCATCAGCGTTAATAGTTTCCCACCCACAAGCCGTTGGCTGCAAATGTGTTGGTGTGCATTTGTAATAATATTGGTTGTTGCTGTTCGACTTTTGAATAGTCGGAGCGTCATTGTCTATGCAAAGTACAACAATAAATGTAAGAGCAACAATGAAAAGTTAAAGACCCTCTTTGGATATAAGTAATGACTACGCTAAATATATTATACCAATAGTACTCTCCGGATTCTAGGGTATCTGTTATTCGGGATTTTCAAAGCAAAAAGACTACGAAAAATTTTTCCACGGAACTCATTAGCGCCTTCGTTTAAAATTGGGACCAATTGAGGATAACGCAAAACAGTATCGGTCTTATATAGCTTTAATTCTAAACTGAAAAGTAAATATAGAGTACAGATTTTCCCAAAATTTGATTGGATTTGAAATTGGAAATTGGATTTCGATGCTTGGTATGTATGTATATTTCGGGCGGACATTTTTTAATGTCGATAATTCTGGTGGAGTTGAGTTGCGTTGAGGTGAGTTG